TCAAGGAAAACATCATTTGAAGTAAAAAAAAAAATTCTTTTTTCTTTTTTTTTTTGTGCTTTAGTTTTACTCATGTGCCATATCCTGTATTCTTACACAGGCTCCTGCATCATAGCCTACTGGAGGTACGGCACCTGGCTGGGAGCTATTAACTGCCCCATCTGCAGACAAATGGTGAGTCTTTCAGTACTTGTTAAAATGCACACTAGGGATATTCATAAGTTGCCAGCTGTTTTGTATTCATATCTTTGAATGCACAAAAATACCTTAATTCTTTTTAGGCGTTTAGCTACTGCCACAGTTGTTGGAAATGAGTGTTAAATGGAATAAGTGATGTGTCAGTCAGAGCGGTGCTGTGTGACCTGTCATTGCTCTACATATATATATATTACCACCCAGTTGATTTATAATATCAACTGGCCGATATAACTATAAATGAGTACATAAAAAGAAAAAAGAAAAACACATGGCAAATTTTGGGGAAAACTGTTATCTATGCCTCTAATGTTTCAGTAAAGGACTAGATGTTACAATCCCAGACAATGCATTGCTTTTAATGGAGAAAATCTTGAAGGATGGCTGTTATGAAGAAAGCAGCGCAGAAACTTTACCAGCAGCACACATCGTCGTGTGCCTTCTTTTACCCAAGCTAGCCTGCCATTTCCCCTGCTTAGGTTTAGGGATTAGAGATCTGATCTAAATTGTTAAATTTGCGACACATCGTCCGTAGTGGACCTTGGATTCATCGGGTGTTTCGGCCATTATCACTAGACTCCTCATCCAAGGAGGCCCTGCCAGGGTTGATCAGGCCCTGGAGTGTGTCAATGATTTATGTTAAAATTGTTTTTCTCTCCTTCTTTCTCCTGTTTAATTTTCTACAGTTTATTTTCTATCTATTCACTACAACTGAGAAATACTTACCTCTTTAGCATTTATGGAGCCTCATTTCTTCAAAGGGACAGAAAAGGTGACAGAGAGGAGTAAGACAAGTAAGATGAAATAAGATAGGAGAGAGCAGAGAGGAGAGCTGGAAGGAGGCGCCCGATCTGGCTTCCCACACCTCCCCGCTGGATCTGGCTGTGCGCTCTACCTCCCCACTGCCTACCAGAAAAGGGAAGAAGAGCAGAGGGGAGAAGAGTGGAATGTTTTTCATTCTTCTTTTTAGTTAGTACTACCATGAAGTTAACTGCACAGTCCCCAGGAGGCCCTGAGACAGCTGTAGCAGTCAACCAGCAAAACTTTTAATGTTATGTTTTACTCTTTCGACGCCCCCTGTTGAGGCAGGCCCGTGGTGGGTCTGCCTCATGCCAAGGATTGATCGTGGTGATCAATCCTTGGCATGTGTATCGCAGTTAGCTGACTGCCTTAGCTGCCCAAGTGATGTCAGCCCTTTGTAGCCATAGCCTGTGACTGGTCCTCTCAGCAGTGTTAGCTAATTCTCTTATAGCCTGCCGTTGTGCCTGTCCTCTGATCCCAATCTCTCTCAGCAGTTTTGCTGTTGTACTGGCAACAAAGCCCCCCCCAAAAAAAGTGTATATATGTCAACCGATGTATGTGATTATCATCAATATCAGTATTGGTATCCTTCTTAAAAATATCTTTATGTTTTTTTTTCTTTTAATTCCAGGTAACATTGCTCTTTCCACTATTTCATGAGCACGCTGGTCCTCAGAGGGTACAGGATGGGGAAGCTGAACCTCAGCTAATATTAAGAGATATCAATGATTACAACCGCAGGTTTTCCGGCCAGCCGAGATCTGTGAGTATTTCACAGTGATATTTATTTAGATTGGGGCTTTAAGTTCGAATATTCATTCTGTACAACCCAGAATATGGTTATATTTTAAGGGGGGGTGCTCATCTGATTGTGACCTGATCTGTCTCCTTTGGTCTTGGGAGCTGCGGACTTCTCCATTGTATAACTCCTTCTTTGTCTCTGTGAGTCATAGTCTGAAACCCAACAACAGTTATATTCTTGATACAAAAGTTAGGAAAGTTGTTAAAGAAGTGGATGTTTGCTCTCTCTGCAAGTCTATCATGGGAGACATGCGAAAGAGAGGGGTTTAAAATTTGCAGCCATCCATGAAATGGCCGATATGATACTACCTTAAATGAGATAAACGTGAGTTATTATTGACAACTTTGTTTCTGTGGTTTACCTCAGTTTATGGACAGGCTGCGGGATGTGCCCACTCTGCTTCGTCACGCCTTTAGAGAGATGTTTACTGTGGGTGGCCTCTTCTGGATGTTCAGGATTCGAATTCTTCTCTGCCTCATTGGGGCAATCACCTACCTGGCCTCTCCGCTCGACATCCTTCCCGAAGCGCTCTTTGGTCTTCTGGGATTCATGGACGATTTCTTTGTAATCCTACTTCTCTTTGTGTACATCTCTATCATGTACAGAGAGGTGGTTACTCAGAGACTGAACGGCTAGGCCTTCTCAAAAGCCTCGGGAAGAGTGAAGTCAACATCTGAGGACGTGCAAAAAAACGGAATAAATGTTCAAAGAGCAGTTAGTCGATAATACAGATTTTGCTCTCTCACTCTCTCTCTCTCTCTCTCTGAAGCCTTGGATGTTATTTTATCACAGGAGATGGGTTAGCAAAAAAAAGTACTCTCAATATTGACTCTGTATATAGAATTTACCATTCAAGATTCTAAGGTCATATGAGTCAGTACCAACAGAAGCAGAATATAAGGATGCAATGTAAAAATCTACTTGGAGTCAGGCACTGAGGTCAGTCAGGAAAGTCTTTCTTGCCTGTCAGTTTCCAACCTTAACTAAATAGTCAACAGTGCCATGAACGGGCATTTGGTTAATGTGTATGTCATCATTATGGAGACAATCGTGTAAAACTGTAATGTCTTTATTAAATGGATTTAAAGTCAACAGTCTACATTTGGGTTGTCAGTTGACAAGCAAAGGTGTGTTACAAGAACCCTGTTAATGGGGTTATTAGAACCTGCTTTATTCACTTATAGTTACGCCCATATTTCAGTGATCTGTAACCTGCATAACCATGACTTGAAACCAATGTTTGTGTCAAAATCACTGAAGTGTTTCACCTGGAAACGTCTAGATTTATTCATCCATTCTAACATGCTTCAAACTTTCCTGGGCTTACCCACGTGAAAATATAGTGAACAACACCAACCAGTCTGATGATGATTTCTCAGTTAGAGATGACTTTGTTTTTCAAGAAAAGAAAGAACTGATTAAAGTTCATTTTTAATCATCAGCTCACTCAAGTAATGAATGTTAATGTCATCATGTTTCAATGTTCAAAGATTATTTTAAGGATTTTTTTTTTCTTCACATTTCAGGATCTTAATCAGTTTGTCAGTGTCAGTTCAGCTTCACGCACTACAGAGCTTTTCAGAACGTCAGAGTCTCTCAATCTGTCAGATTTTGAAATGTATTAAAGTCTTATTTATGTTCAAATTAAATTAAGGTTCTATACAAAATGTGTTTTACTGAGGATATAAATAAATGAGGGATTACCAAACTGTTCAAGTGTAAATCCAGCTTGAACTTTTGACTGGTGCACAGTAAATATCTCCACCTCAACTTCTTTTATTTTTTTTTTAGTTGTGATTACTTAAATAGGTAGTGTTGTCTAGTGGAGCCAGAGAGGGAGACTTCATTATCTGCCCTTTTCCCTCAAAGTTACTGTGTAACCATGGTTACTTTTTGAGCAATGAGTCCAGGCTATTTGGTTTCTGGGGATTCAAGCCAATGTTTGATAAGCTTGTCATGGTAGGCAAAGTAAAAGGAGCAGGTTAACTGTAAATTTCACTGTATTTCAGAGATTTAGATTACCAAAAAGGAGACCAGCAGCTACCTCATGGAATGTCTTGTTTTAGGGTGTGCCCACATACCAGTATGTGTCATACTTGAGTACTGCTCCACTAGTGTCCCTTTCAGTTTAAACTAAAGCCAGAGACAGCAGCATATGTTGTAATGCTCCAGGTGAACTACATTCGAGAGGTTTTTTGGAAGTCCCACCCTGATGTAATCTTTATTTTGGAAGCATCATGCAAGGGGCACTTTGTGCACAGACTTCGTGTACATGCCAAAATGCATGTCAGAAATGTGTAAAAATGCTGCTGCTCTCATACAATCTATTAACATAATTTCAAAGATATCACGTGCACTCATTTTCTCAGGGTTAGTGGGATTCCATCTAAATTAAATGGAATTGTGGCAATTGCATGAAGAAATCAAGTGGTTTTCTTTTATGAATCATTAGTTGCTTTTGATGGGAATTTTTTGTGTGTGGTTAGACCTGCTCCAACTTTTTTTTTTACAATAGAACAGAATAGCCCTTTATTGTCTTTGTGCATGTACAACAACATTTTTGTGTGGACTGATTCTGTGTGGATAATTTGAAAGCAAGAAAAATGATCCACATGTGAAAAAATATTCAAAAGACAGTTGCCAATTTTCGCAGGAGTGGATGTCCCCAAAAATCCACCCCTAGGTCAGACTATGCAATGCTCAAAGAAATTACAACAAACCTTAAGAGCTCAACAACAATATCATCAGTTGAACAAGTTATAGAATCATATGTTGGACTTAGTTATTAACAAACTTTCTGTATTTTGGCTTAGTTTTCTTTTAAACCTCACTGGGTGTCTCACTGTGAGAAGTACCCTCTGGTGCTCTCTATAAGCATTTAGACTTATGCTTTTACGCAGCACTGCGTCAGCTGTATGTCTTCCCAAGCTTATGCGCTGCTTCCGTTTTGCTTGCCAGAAAAAAAAGTAATTTCCTTGGATTGTTTTGTTTTTTTGCCTGTGATTGTGTCTACATATTTTAGAACCATAAATAAATGAATGTTTCATTTGGTGCTTGTTTTGTGCTAGTTTTCAGATTCTTTTGAAATAATAATTGGTTGCGGACTATCTTTTCCTGTAATTAATACCTGACAGTACATTCAAAGTGAGAACTGCCCTTTAAAACGAACTATAGACTCCGCCCACACAGCCCGCCTCTGGTAGACGCCGGACTAGCGAACCAGCGAACCCGACCATTGGCGGACGGATTGTGAGACACCCAGAGAGCCAGAGATCTCGGGAGTGTATGAAGCTGACTATCAAGTTCAGGCTCTCTTCGCCACGTAAAGTCGGTCTACGTTAGATCACGATGAGTACATCAGAGTCTTTAGATCGTATGGAAGTGTGTGAAAGCCTCTTAACATGGGTAAGTAATCGAGTTATAGTTGTTTTTCCGCTGACAGACGGTTCTCCGGCGCCTCGGCGACGCTAGCTAGGCTGATGGTAGCTCGAAGAGCTAACGGGAGTAACGTTAGCTGGCTAGAGGAAAATGACTCGCCTCACAGTGGTTACGTATGCAGGCCAGCTGTTTGCTGTGTTTAGCTGCTGATGTGTTGGTTGCTAGCCGCCAGCACACCACATACCATGGCTTAACTATTGATTTTTGATTCATGCGCTGTGTAATCGGGCTTTTATCTAATGTTATTTGAGCTTTCGTTTACTAAATCCCTACCGAATGGTGTGTCAAACCGCATTGGCCTTGTTATGATTTAAAGCTTCTTTTGGTCAAGCCTTTTTTGTCTTTTCTTATGGTATGAGGATAAACGCTCGGCGTCTGCTTTGGGGTTAAATTCCTGTCATCGTTGTTCAGTGTAGCATATTATTATGTTCGCCTTTCTTCCTCATTCCTTCTTCTGAATAAAATGTTAATGCTAAATAACTTCTTGGGCTTGGATTTTTAACCAGACATTACCCCATATTGTTGATGCTCAGAGGCTGAAAACTGGGATTTAAGCTAAAGGCGTCGGACTGTAGAGTCACGTGCTGCAGACTGGTATATGTTTACATTGATCAATGAGGTCTCCCAACACTGGGTTTCTAGAAAAGGCATAACACGTTGTACTTGGAGAGCTGTCACATCCTCATTTACCATAGTATGACGTGACGATTGCTGATGGTTAAACCAGTGACCTTAAGGTTAATAAAGTGCTGCTCAGGCATGTGACTGGATGGAACGTTATGAAAACTCTGCATGGAAAAATTACATGTTGTCACAATACTCTAGTGGTAGAAATGTCAGAATTGTATAATGGAAACATCCATCTGGTGTTGGTTATATTGGAGCCGAGTTCATGCACGCTACCCTGCTTCTCTAATGTCAGCATATCTGCACACAAGCTGGTTTCTGAGCAGGTTCACTTGGGTCACCTGGATGTTGTTGTGTGATACTTGAAGCCATAAAACATCCAGTGATTCCAGAAACTTCACTGAAGATGTGTCAAGAAGAGCAGTAGATGACGCCACAGATTAGTTTCACACACATAGCATAAAATAATTGATTCCCTTTGTGAAAAGGCCCAGTAAACCTTTGTCATAGTGATAATGGATCTGGCAAACATGCCTCACATACCTTACATGCCTATTAACAGTGAAGATACATCAGTGACTAATTAGGACTAAAACGAGACAAGTGTTACTGGTTTAGATTCGTGCAGCATTAAGATCAAGCATAGCTGATTTTCATGCATGTTCTTTGAATTAAATTTGCAAGTACTATTTAATGACTTTGTAAATACTAGATTTGTTTGGAGAAACACTATTTACCTTCCCAGCTTTCTAGTTCAAAGTCTATAATATCCAAATGTGTTTGCATGAAGAGCAATGCAGGCAATTATCCTTTAAATTCACGGTGAGCCATTCAGCTTCATGTATTCTGCCTGCTGAATGGTCCGCCTTGCAAGCGCCCACAGCTAAAACAAGTGGAATATTTCCCGGACTGAGAACACGTGATTATCTCCCACTGCATGCTACATGTGAGTGCGTGTAGCTTTGGTAATTATCCAGACTGTTAATGAAAAATTAACTAGATATTTAGTATATATATTATACTAATATATAGTATAGATATTTCTCAACTCATACTTTAAATATATAGGGTTGCACATGACTGGAAAATACACATCATGTACTTTTTACTGTCATTATATGAAATTACTGGATGTTTAAAAAGAATTAATGAATAAAAGCCACAGGATTTAATGTTTTTGTTGTTTTTCATTAATTTGCCCTTGGGAAGGTTTGGTATCACAGCAGGTAGAGCAGGTCATCTACTAACTGGAAGGTCGGTGGTTTGATCCTTTTTGCTCCAGTCTGCGTGGCAGAGTGTCTTTGGGAACGATACTGAACCCAGAGTTATTCTTAATGCATGTATCAGAGTGTGAATGTGCAGCACTTAGATGCTGCACATTCACACATAGAGAGAAGTTATTGTGTGAATGAGACATGTTGTATAAGGCCAGAATGCTTGAGTAGAAAGCCCTATATGAGAATCAGCCATTTACCATTAAATCTGAGAAAACACACAGGAGATGGTTAGTCTGGTGTATTTATCAATGTTGCGATTTAGGGTTTCGATGCGCTGCAGATTTGAAAAAGGCTAATCCGGCCTCTTAATACGTGATCGCTTACATTGTAAACTTTATTTAGTCGTGCACGCATTCTCCACAGCTGAGCATGTCCTGACCCAGCTGTTACTGCAAACTTTTAGGTGTGGATTTCCTGTTGGGTCTCAGTCCACCCCATGTGTTACCACCAACTTATGTACTACAGCTGACATTTATAATAACATGATTCTTTATTGTTTTTGGTTGACTAGCTGAGTTTTTACTTTTCACTACACGCTCATTTCCAAAAGTACATATGAAACCAAGTTTACGTGTTGCAGTGGCTTATGAAACACATCTTGATGAAGCATTGTTTTGGTTCAGTGGCCCTTTATGGTCTATACTGTCAGTCAATGTGTTCTTATTAATGCAAGAATTATCTGTGATGGCCAAAAATGTTTGTGGTAAACCAGGTAGTCTAATGCGAAGTTCCTGGTCAACCCTTTTAATACACTGCTGACTCGTGAGCTGAACCTGAGCAAAATTGGAGCCTCCAGTTTACAATACCTCAGTTTACACGATATGTTTTTCATAACTATAGTTTGTATCAGTTAATGACCCATATGAAGAAAAAAAAATATATATATATATAAGTTTGTATCTGTGTATTGTGTCTTGTGTGAAACTTGTATGAAAAGCATACGGGAGTGAAAACAGATATACTGTAAGATCCATTGAAAAATTATATATAATTGTAATATAATGTAATGTAATATATATAATGAAACTTGTATGTTTTGGATACTTACTAAAACAATATATGAAAGTAATGAGAAAGTGGCCACTTTCATGAGTAAATCATATAAGTTTTTACTGTTTCTTTTCCATATGGGGTGCTAGTAAACATGTCGCTTTTGCCTGGTTTCTTTTAACGCAGAGAAAAATCCAAGTGAGCTCCAAGCGAAGCAAAATTCCTCACTACAAATCACATGAGAATTTTCACTCCGCTTATTGGCCAGATGGATTTCCGGAAGGAGCAATAAAAGTAAACTACAGCAAGAAGGTGCTGTGTTCTGGACATTTGGAGAACATGGAAAATTTTGGGTTTTTTTTTTCACGGCTAATTGCTAGCCCATACAGACCTTTGCACATCTATAAACAAACTGCTCTGTAGTTCATTTGGAGCCGCACTGAGACCAACATCTTCAAAGGGTCTCGAATTGGTTGTTTTTGTCCACACCTGCGATTATTGTGTTCACAATCTATAAAAGTGAACCACACCAAGGGGGAAAACAAACCAGAGTTCGGTTTTAAACATAGGTTAGGGACTATAGTGGATATCTAGAAGGTATCTTTGGACCGCTTCCCACTTGTTTAAGAGAAGTTGTCTTGAGCAGGACAAAAGGGTAGCTGTCGAAGCAGTTTTTCATAAAAATCCAGGGTGTGCAGACGGTACTATTCCAGTAGTTGCTGAAGTGGTTGTTGGCCTTATTTTGCTCTCTGGTAAGTGCTTCAAGGCTTCTTGATTAGTATAATCGTAACAAGCTGAATGGAAGGTGATCCTGATAATTAAGAGGACATTTATTAGCCCAGTTTTGCTCTTGGACGAGTGCTTCAGGGTTCCACGATTAGTTTAATTAAAATAAGCTGATTGGAACATGAGCTGATGATGTCATTCAGAGGACATTTAGTAGCCTAGTGCTATCTCAAAAGTTGACATCCCATCTGAAATCAATAAAGTTTGAATTAGGCTTATATTATAAAATATTATATATAATATTTTACACTGGGGCTCATATTCTGTTGCCCTTTAGTCGAGGCAACACAAAGGTCTATCACCGAAGTTTTCTTTCCAAGACAGTATTTACCAAAGCATAGGAAATACTAACTAGATTTAGTCCTCTGTAACTACCGATTGCATGTATTTAGCTGTTGATTCACATAAACGTAGAGACTATAAAGGGGATGGATATAAAATTAAATCATATTTTTTTTATATTCAGTGATGTAATCCAGCATATTGGCGATAAACATTAGGTTTGATTGAAGGCTGATTGGCTATTTGTGACTGATGTAATTACTGTGTTAATTGCTTTTAGATTTGTGCCTGATCAACATTCAAGACACCAAATGTGACATAATTAACTAATCTCTAAAGGCGTTTTTATGAGGATAAGTGTACTGAATAGAGTGATACTTGGCTTCATTCATGGAAAACGTGACTGCACAATGTCCTACACCTGCACATAAAGCAACCCACCTGCACTGGTCAGCTTTGGCTTTTATTAGAAATCACATGAGCATACATTCCTTTCCGATGCTTTGTTATATAGTGTTACTCTATGTATTGCGCTGGTTTGGACAGTGGGACATGCAGCTAAAGCTGTCAAGCTCACATTACCATGAAAGCCACTATTGTTTAGAAAGAATAGTGTAGGATCTTTTTCAAGCTACAGCCACACACAAATGAAAGGAAATTTTTATCAGTCAGCAAAGTGGAAAAGTAGCTGATTGATTTAAGATGACTTGAGGTAATACGTTAAATCAAGCACAAAAGCACATTGCGTGTCAGGGGCCATGAATTCATTTCTTTTGTACAACTCTCACAGCGTGTTGTCAGCTAAGGACTGCCCGGCATAGTGTCACGTTTGTTAGTGGTCAGTGTGGTTTTTGCAGGGCTGGCTCATCCTTTATTTTCTTTCCTTGTCTGCCTTTCCTGCAAAAGGAAACGATGCAGACCAAATATTGCTGTTGTGCAGTACTAAGTTCATAACAATAGGGATCCATGCAGCCATTTCTACTTAGATGTTTGTCTTGTCTCAGTTCCTCTTAACTCAGTGGCTGTTCAAAAGAAAAGGGATTTGTGTTGTTGTCGTGCTCGTATTTTAGTAACATATTTTAATACTGTCTAAAAAAGCTAACACATTTAAAAGCTACAGATTTATGATTTTATTGCTACTTTAGCAAATGTTTTAAGAGGCAAGTCTTGCTATTATTGTCTATCCCAGTTCCATCAAATATAGGAAGTTAGTAAGTAACTGTATCCTGTACTTTAAAGCTGGCAAAAGAGTTTAAGTGAGCTGGTAGATGGAGTGAAAACTGTGGGTGTGGGTAATCAGGTGAAGTTTCTCTGCCTTTTCCCCAGTAATTGGTGTTACATAATCACGACTATTGTTTAGGTTCTCTTTTGTGTTGGCTCCTGGCCAGTGTCTGGCTTTCTGTTCCTGCTGCCTAGGACTATTTGACAAATCGCTTATTTTGAAAGCAGTGATAGATAAAGTTTTGCAGCTAATTGGCCCCCCAATGTAATTACAGTGCAAAAAAAAAAAAAAGACAAGCGGAAAAGACTCAAAATTTGCATCTAAACTGTAGCGTTACCTTTCATGTCCAGCCTAAATACAACTCTAGTCTAAAAGCTTTCCTTGTAGATGGATGTTACTGCAATGTCATGCTCCCCTCATACCACATGAGCTGTGTCCTTCTAAGGTGCACAGTGTCAAGTGTCTTCTTGTTTACTAATCTTATTCTTTCCTAATGATGAAATAGTGCCGTTAGTTGCTTTTCTGTGACATAATAACACACTTCCCATGGTCCCAGACTTAAATTGTTAACTTAAAATATAAATTAGTGTGAAACTGTTAAAATAGTTAGAAATCAAATTAGTTTAGTACAGTAAATTCATCCATCCATCCATTTTCTTCCACTTATCAATAAGTATGTGTGTGGGTGTGTAGAACAGTGAATTCATTTTTCATTTTTAATCTTGTTTAAAAAAAAAAAAAAAAAGATAAAACACTCAGTTTTAAATAAATGTTAAAACTCGGTAGTGACAGCAAACACTTGTAAAAGTCTTGGTCCAGTCAGTCTCTCAGACTTGCAGCGAGATAAACATGTATTCAGTTCAGCCTTTTCAATTTCAACCCCGGCATAACAAAGCAGGGTGGGAAAACGTACTAGACATGAATTAAAATGATGACACTCACAGAGACAAGCAGGTAGAACCGGGACAAAGTTGCTGGTGTCTTTTTGGTACCTCTGTGTCATTCATTCAGTTTGTTATGTCACTCACAGAAAAATAGATTGCCGCAAGAAACAAACCTCACTAACCTGTGTCGTTGTTGATGAGCAAAATATGTGGACAGCTGGTTGGCTTTTACTTTTAATAGAGGCCTTGCATTATGTATATACTATACTATATAATAGAAAGTGAGAGAGACAGAATTATGTACAAACAGGATTTTAACTAGGTTTTTCATCCCTTTTCTTAGTGTATCTTCTTCCTTTGGCTCTTGTAAAGTTGGCATGCAGACTGATATCACTTCTTTCTGGGCAACAGACTTTCTGCCTGAGGGGTATGCTACAGAAAAATATGGAGGGTAGGAAGAGAAGACATGTGAAATAGTTAGAAGGGACGTAATGAAATAATGATATAATAGAAATTGAGCAGAATGACAAGTGAAGTCCGCAAGAGCAGTAAGTGTGAGTTCTTGTTAGTACTGTGGATAATTGAGAGTTATTAAAAGGCACCATTATAAAATTTGCAATGCGTACGGGGGATCTGCTCGGTGGACAGCAGATAAGTGTGTGATGATACTAGCCAGCATACAGCTGTGACAGTATGATTGTGAGCAAGGGATTCCCTAAAACAGGGCATTTAATCTTATAATAGGTTTTTTCTAGTGTTTCAAACATGTTATACTGTTTTCAACACACTGGTTACTCCTGTATAATTGTATAGTTTAGTTCTGTAACCAGCGCTTTGTTTACTTATTTCAGATCCAGACATTTGGAGTAGAGGCTCCATGCAAGACTGTAGAAGACCTGACAAGTGGTGTTGTCATGGCACAAGTTCTACAGAAAATGTAAGTAGTTACTGTTAATGTTTGTGTAGAAAGAAAATGCAATGTTTCTAAGCAGTTTTTGATTAATTTTATTACATCATTGTAAAGTTTAGGTAAACAAATACAGTTTAATCTCTATAAAGTTATATTAAATCCATAGTCCACAAATGAATAAAAAAACCCCAGTCATTTCATTTGGTATGCTTTTTTTTTTATTTTTACCAAAGCCCACTTTGCATTGTTTTGTTTTGTTTTTTGTCTGTTTGTCTGAAATTTCTAGAGATGTAGTGTATTTTAGTGATGCTTGGATTAGTAGAATCAAGCCAGACGTCGGAGACAACTGGAGGTTAAAGGTAAACATGACTTACTCTTGATTTCAATAATAGCAAAGTGTGCATGAGATGGGCTTTGTCAAATGGTCTCTTTTTTATCAGTATTTGCTGATTAAACCTGAATTTTACTAATAATATACGTTCTTCTCTTTTACAGATCAGCAATCTAAAGAAAATCTTGAAAGGCATCCTAGACTATATCCAGGAGGTGAGAGTATTTAAATTATTATAATGATTTTAAAATGAACTTTCAGTACTTTACATCCAGACATTCTTGTAGAGGAGAAGTGATTGTCTACTCTACTCCAGTCAGCTTAAGTCATCACAAGTCCTAATAATCCAGTTGTTCTTGAGGTTTCTGATGTGATTTTATTGTTTAAAATTTACTGTTTTATTGGATGTGATACAACTACCGATTGCTAGGTTGCTAAGACGTTGCCATGGTGGTCTGTAGTTAACCTGAAAAGTAAACGCGATTATCTGTCGTGTTGTTCTAGCTGAGGGGTAGGATAAGTTCATAAAGTGTGATACCTACTGGAAATGGAGACCATTCGACTTGAAAGTAAAAGTTGTGCCCTTTGAAACGTGTTGGCTGCAGCACTGAGGCACAACTTTTACTTTGTATAAAGCCCTTCATCATTTCTGGTTTGTTTCACTTTTGACAGTTTAACAGCTCGGAGAGTAGCTGGCAAGAGTTTGTCGACAAGTCCATCACTTCCAATCAAACTATAAACGCAACAATATAGTAGTGACCAAAACAATCACAAGGCGGTATTGCCATCTGGTTGAGGAATACACATTTTCCCCTTGCGACAGGTTACACAGGCCTATGTGCCTGGGACTCTAGCAATCGTTTTCCCAGCAACTACAGTCAACTTCCAGCAATGACTTGCAACTGGTCAGTGAATACTATTTCTTTCACTCATCTGGTTGCCAGATGGACTAAACCCCAAAACACTGTATATGTGTGTATATAATATGTAAAATACTTTAAAAAATGCAGACGTACAACTCACTTTTTTAAATTGTTCATAATATTGTGCGCCACCCCCAGAACACACAACCAGAGCTTGGAGCTCACAGCTCGAGGGGACTGTGAAGTTCCTAGAAGGAACTCTGCTTTGTTCCAATCTGCCTTTTTGTTTAAAGCTGGCAGGAAGTGGAATAAGCTCATTGAACTACTGTTTATTGCCACTCTTTCTCATGTGATGTTAAAAGGGGGATTCTCTTTTATTCTCTTGATCTATTTGTGTTTATGTGTGACAGTAATTGTTATATGGGATTTGGTGCTGTGTTACAGTCTGTGTTTTATTGAAGGAACTACCAGTTGAATTTGTGTTAGGATAATTTTTCCTTGCTTACGTGATTTTGTGTATTTGTGTTTATTGCTTGATCTCCCCAGTGACTGTGGATAGAAATGATCTAGTAACTGATGTAAATCTGGTAGAATGCATCTCTTCTCTTAAATACAAACCAATACAATGTATAGCCCTTACATATTTCATCCTTGTCTCTAGGTCTTAGGCCAGGATATTAATGACTTCCCACTACCTGATGTTAATCTTATTGGAGAACACTCTGATGCAGCTGAGCTTGGAAGGATGTTACAACTTATATTGGGCTGCGCTGTCACCTGTGAACAGAAACAAGGTGAATATTGGATTTAAGAGGCCAATGTTCTGTGTTGTCTCCCTGCTTTACCCACTGATTCAGAAAGTTATGTGCTACTTTATACTTACTTACTCTTAATTTTGGTTTTCTCTCTAATTCCTAGAATACATCAAAACCATAATGGTGATGGAAGAATCGGTGCAGCATGTTGTCATGACTGCCATCCAAGAGGTACCTTGTTATCTATTTTAGACCTTTAAAAAGTATTATGTGCATATAATAACTAATAAATGAAAGTAAGAGTCTTTGATTCTTGCTTTTTAGTGATCAACAGCTAACTGGTCACATTTTTATGGATAAAAAAACACACTCTGGTCACTGGTATTGTTAATTATAAATTTGAAACCTATTCGATTCAGGAATGATGATAAATAGTAATATTGATACCAATAAAACTAATGGTATCCATCGCTAGTGTTGTTTGCACTTCTAATCATTTTTGTTTGTATCTGTAGCTGATGACTAAAGAGACTCCAGCTACAGGAGGAACTGACTCATATGTGGATCTGGACAGACAGGTATGTAGATTTCAAGCTTTGACAAGCTCCTATGCAGCATTTCACTCAGGTTGAGATCTAGACTTTGACTCCGTCATTGCAACAGTGTGATCGTTACTTTTTCAGCAATCTCTTGTAAATTTGCTGCTGTGCTTGGTCTGTTGACCCAATTTTGGCCATGCTGTCAGACAGATGGCCTCACATTTGACTCTTCAATACTTTGGTATACAGATCGGTTCATGATCCACTCAATTACTATAAGGTGCTTCGTACCATCTGTCAGCCATATCCTGTGGCTGACAAATGGTAGGAGGTGCGCTGATTGGCTGTATTTGGTTTTTCCTCTGCATTGTCACCAAACATCTCCGGTTTGGTCTCGTCTGTCGTCTGTCCAAAGATCTGCTCTTTTCCAGAGCTCTTGTGCTTTGCTCAGATGTAGCTTTGCAAACCTAAGCCTTGTTTCTATGTTTGTTTTAGTGGGGAAAAAATCCTGACAACCCATCAAAACTATCCATACTTGTATACTTGTTCAGTCTTTTTCTATGAACTTTTTCTCATAATCATGTTAGAGTAAAGAACAGCATAGGCTTGAACAAAGTTGTGAAGGTAGCCAGCAAAATAATAGTTTTCCCACAGTCTACTCCTTGCTGTATATGAGCAGCAGGTAGTGTGAAAGGGCTGAGCTATTGTGCTGAGCCAGATTCATCCCCTTCAGAGAATTTGAACCACTTCCTTCAGGCTGCAGACGAGAAGAACACGAGTAAGATGTCATAGGATCTAAACTTTTTTATTACCTGTGCAGTAGCGTTCTTTAGTTTTATGTCTCTCTTATTTACCTTGTGGATTTTTGTTTGGTTTTTTTGGGGGGGCTTGGAGGATTATGTCTTATGATTTTGTGTACTTGGAATCTTTTGGATGTAAATTTAATAAAAACAATAAAAACAACAATGTTTTTATTGTTGTGTGTAGTTTTACTGCTTTTGTATTGTCTTTCTATAAACCTTCTTTGCTATTGGATTAGATTGAATTAAAATTATTATTATTATTTTTTGATCAGTGAATCCACTGATTAGCAGCACCTGACTGCTACTTACCCTCTTAATTTATATGAAAATATTAAGGATGTACTTAATTTTTCACAAGTCTGCATGGAATTGTTTTCCTTTTTTATTAAGTGTACTACATAAAACATTTTGAGGAGCAGCAGTTCTTGATTTATGCTTAATCTGTTTTTAGCTGAAGAAGACAGTTGAGGAGCTGAATGATGCTTTGGCTACCAAGGAAGAGATTGCCCAGAGGTGTCGCGAGCTTGACTTGCAGGTTGGTTTTGTATGAATAACGGCCAGTGGTTTTAGGCTCTTCACAGCTAGCACCGTGTACATTTACTCTTCCACTACAACCTATTACAATAAGGTTGTGAACAACTTTTCTGCTTTTTTAATAACTTATTTTTTTTCTGCAGATATTTTAGTTACACTTTAAAAGCAGCTCCATTTTTGGATTGATGCCATCAAAATTGTTGATTCAGTTGCTACTGATTGGCATGTCCCATAGTTCCTTATTTAATAATTGCCTTGCCAAATTGGCGATCTGACCCACCAGCCCAAAATCTTCACTGTAAATGAAAGACTGTTAATTGCAGTTGTTGCCAAAAAGTGGAGCTGTAATTTAAAGGGATACTTGCTCTCCACTTGTGTTGAATCAGTTTCCTCTTATCTTTCCTCTTTACTCTTTCAATACTGTTTGCCTTGGTTTAAAGGCTCTCCGTGCCCAAGAGGAGCGTGATAGACTGAGGTTAGACTTTAATGAGCTAGAAGAGAGGGTAAATCCAAACTTTATTTTCTTTGTTTCTTTCTTATGTTCATGGTGTGTGATTTTCTTTAGCCTGCTTGCAACAGGTTCCCCTTTTCCAAATTCTGTGTGCATGTATGTGTACACATTTGTGCACAAGCATTTGTGCAACTGTACACATTGTCCTGTTGGAGCACACCAGGCACAACTGCAGTTTGGTCTGGCTGTGTCAGATGTGGCTTTCTTTTACCTTGGTGTGTCCCATGCTTTTCCACAGCAATAGTAGAAAGCGAGGGAAGTAGGTTAACATTTGAATTCAGAAATGAGTCACTTATTGGAAAAATGCGTTCATCACTGTTTAAACATTATGCAGGCTTCAGACTTTTATTTTTTATTTTTTTGGTTGCATAACTCTGATCAGCAAGCAGTCAGCAAAATTATTAAGCCTGTACCTGAAGGCACTTGGTATCTTTTGAGGAACCCGTGTGCTGGTTTTGGAATTAATTGCAGCTGATTTCCACCCTGTTTCCTGCGTTTTGAGCTGCACGGTTCGCATCTTTGATGTGATACAGTTTTGTTGCCATAAGGGAATTTTCACAAGGAATTCCGTAGGAATTTTAGACATGGAAGTGTTAAGCTTTTTAGAAGAGAGAGTGAGTCACACCATATTAGTTTAAAATGCATTTTTAAATAAAATAAAAAAGAGCAAATAGATTCACTAGATAATTTTCCTAAAGTCCCAGAAGGATTAAATTATTTTCCAGTGTTTTAAGGCATGTTTATAGACTTGATCCAGGCAAATTAATAAAAATCCCTTCCTTATTGACTGATTATATTAATTTTTTAAAGAAGGTTTGTATTTTCTCTCAACAAATTATATCAATATATCTAATTTTTACTGTTTACATTAAAATGCAGCAGCAGCTTTTGCTTCGCTTTGCCCATCACACTGAGAAAACACCAACCATGTAGCTCTCTCTGCCATGTTGGAGTTAATTGATTTGCCTTATTAAGGTGTGTTTGGTGTGTGTTTGTTAAACTGATGGACCTGGATGCTGTAAAGGAAACAAGCAAATTAAAGTAGCTTACCTACATTGTGAAAGTTATAAATCATCTCTAACTTGTTTCCCTTCTGCATCTCTTCTTTTCATGTGTTTAAAATCCCTTCAATCGATCATTTCCACACCTTTTGTGTTCCCGTTAATCCTTCTTTTCTCCACGCTGTCCCATTTTCACCTTTTCTTATCCCATTCCTCTCATTTCACTCATGATTTCGTGTATCCCATTCTTTGGCCTTTTCTCCAACACTTCCCTTTCTCCAGGTGGCAGCCCTGCAAGAGGAGAAGAGCAGTTTGCTAGCAGAAAACCAGGTCTTAATGGAGAGACTTAACCAGTCTGACTCCATAGAGGATATAAACAGCCCTGCTGGACGCAGACATCTTCAGCTGCAGACGCAACTGGAGCAGCTACAGGAAGAAACCTTCAGGTCTCAATTTGCATGCAACGTGGAAAGGAATTTCAACATGTCAGGGTTGAATTGATTAATGCCCAAAATCTGCAGGCTCAATGACACTTGTTTCTAATTCCCTCTAGGTTGGAGGCAGCAAAAGATGATTACCGGATCCGTTGTGAGGAGCTGGAAAAAGAACTTTTGGATGTGAAGTCCCAGAATGAAGACCTTACATCACTGGCTGATGAGGCCCAGTCTCTAAAAGATGAGATTGATGTCCTCAGGTATTTTGAGGATGCAAAACGAACCCTTAACATATTAAAATTATTAAATTAAAACAAACTAAAAAACTAATAAGATAGGAGCTTTGTTGTTTGTAGTAATTCTAACTAAGGTGCTGTGAAGCACACGTTTTAATTTTAGCATTCATTCATTAGTAGATGTATTGGCCTAAAGACAGAAAATAAAAGAGCCAAGAAAACACTATGGCTTAAAAAACTTTTAGCTTTACAGCTTGTTATCTGTCCATAAACTAAACTTTAACTAATCCAGTGTGGAAATCAGCAGGATCAGTATGACAGTGCTTGTTGTTTTCCTTGCAGGCACTCATCTGACAAGGTGTCAAAACTGGAGGGCACCGTGGAACACTACAAGAAGAAACTGGAGGACATGGGACTGCTCAGAAGACAAGTACAATCTCTCACACACGCGCGCACACACACAGCAACTTTAATACAGCTTTTATTCTCATGAGTGCTAACACTGCAGTTCTTGAAAACATGTAAATCAGATTGTGAAACATGACTTTCAGTCTAACAAAAAATGTATGTCCGTATTTTCCAGAACAAGCTTATGGAAGAGAAAACCACAGCTTTAATGCAGGCTAATGTTGGCTTAGAGGAAGAGCTACGAAAGGCAAATGCTGCCAAAGCCCAGTTGGAGACATACAAGAGACAGGTACCTGTTCCTAAATAAATAAGTTTTACATTTTCCCAGGCTTAGTACTGTACTCCAATTCTGTTTTACAATTTTCATGCTTGTGTAATCATTTTTTAGCGATCAGGTCTTCTTTTGAACTGTCATCTCTCTTCACAGGTGGTTGAACTTCAGAACAGACTGTCAGAGGAGTCTAAAAAGGCGGACAAGATGGAGTTTGAGTATAAACGCCTCAAAGAGAAAGTCGATTCTTTACAAAAAGAAAAAGATGTACGTATATTTATTGTGACTAAAATTAGGACTGATGACATACAAAAGAATTACTTTAATTTTTTGTTTGTTTTGTTTTTATGAAATATGCCACTTTACTGTTCTTTCAGACCTGTTTCTCTTTTTAGATGAAATCAAATTTGTTACAGCTAGAAAAGCCAAACCTTGTAACTTAGCATGAGAGGAAATTTTGACCAAAGGCTCTTGATAACTGGTACCGTACTTGCGCCCAGCTGTCTGGAAAGTATTTTACTGGAAATGTTTTACTACTAAGCACACTGATGTTGGTTCCAGATCCTGCACTTCTGCTGTTTGACCTTCTGTCTGTCTCGCTCATTCACACGTTTGACTCTTTGTCTCTTTATAGCGTATGCGAAGTGAGAGAGATTCATTGAAGGAAACTATTGAGGAATTACACTGTGTTCAAGCTCAAGAGGGACAGTTCACATCAGGTGAAGAAATGTCTTTGTCCTGAAATATAATAGGTGTAGCTTTGCCTCTTATAAGTTTAATGAATTCTTGCTCATCTTATTTACAACTAATATCTGCATTTAAAGGTTTATTCCCATTGGGTAGCAACGATGGTTCTGATTCACTGGCTGCTGAGATCACCACTCCAGAGATGCGGTATGTGTGTGTGTGTGTGTGTGTGTGTGTATATGTTTTAACCCATATGTTTTTGCGCCAGTTTGATTATTTTAAATGAAAGAGAAGAATAATGATATTAGATCATCCTAGAAGTTGGTTTTTAAAATAAAAAAGAACAAAAAACTAATAACTGAGTAACAAATACAACAGCAAACTATGCAAAAAGAATATAACTAATGCTCTGGTAAAATAAATTCGCTTTTTAAGGCTTGATTCCTAAATTTTGGATAGTAAAGTATGTCTCTAGTGTAATTTATTTTACAACCAGATAGTTTCAAGCCCGCTTCAAGGCTTTCTCTGCTGTTTTATGGTGGATGGGTTTAGCTTAAAAACCCTGTAGAGCGTTATGTAATAATTGAGTGTGAGTTACATCAGACTGCCAGCAGCTTTCCAGGACAGCTGGATTTTCTGTTGGCTGGATAATATGCTTAAAGTTTTATTCAGTACTTGTGAACCCAGGAAAAATGTGGATTTGTATACAAATCTTCTAAAAGCTACTTTCAGGGAGAGGGAAGGTTAACCCCATCCAGGCAGTTCATTTACTGTAAAGGTAAATGATGAAAACATGTTGTTTTGTGAATGACTAATGACTTTTCGTTCCAGTTGATGTCTTTTGGTGACTTTTCAGTATCAACATGCTGCTTTTATAAGAGGCACCTGTTGCCTGTTCATTTGATCTGAACTGTAAAACAGGGAGTCGCACTCGCAGCTGAAAATTCAGTCCCTCAACCAACTGCACCTCACCTGAAAGTCGTATTCAGTACCTGTAGTCAGTAATAAATTGTTTGGAAACAACAGTTCTTCAGTTGGAATGGATTCATGTGCCATGCCCTAAAAACAGGGCTTGACACAAAGCTTCCTACCCATCCTGCTGTTTTGGTGATTAGCTGAATGTAAGGCTCTCAGGTGCTTTATATTCATTTGGCTGTCTGTCACACTAGAGCCCAAGACAAGGCTGACCTCAAGCTTTATCTCCTGCTGTATTAAATACAGGGTATATCCAACCAAATTTGTGTAGATAACATTTTTGACTCAAGTGTGGAATTTGTCAGATTTAACCCACTGCTGTAACACTGTCAGGAGCACTAAAACGGAGCAGGCCATAGGTATAATTCATTAAGCAGACAGTGTTGTAATAAGGTGATTCACTACAGTGATTAGTTACGCTGAAGTGAATATCTCACTTACACTCACTACTTGACCTGAGCTTGCTTGTGTGTATGTTTCCGTGCACAGGAGTACACCATTTCAAAGTGAGCCCTCTTCCTGTTGTGGTTGAGGTTTCCCTTTCTGCACGTTGTGCCCTATACTAACACGAGATGATAAAATAAATAAATAACAAAATATTGCGAATTTTAAGTTCATCATTTAGACTAATATTCTGAAGCATTTTTGAGACTGTGTGTTTGAGACAAGAATGCTTGTTATTTGAGTTTAATGCTCTTGATGCTTCTGTGTTTCTAGAGAACACGTGATTCGTCTTCAGCATGAAAACAAGATGCTGAAACTGGCTCAGGAGGGATCAGACAATGAGAAGATCGCTCTGTTGCAGAGTCTACTCGAGGATGCCAACAGGAGAAAAAATGAACTGGAGACAGAGAACAGGTTGGCATCGAGCACAAAGACATATAGCTTATTGGTATTAACAGGAAATCACCTATTACTGAACCCAGTGTCTCACTGATATAGAATCTGAGAAGAGCAAACAATAATATTGTTCTTCCTTTTGGTCTGTTCATATTAATATTGAGCCACATTTTCACTTGTGTGCTGGAATGTGGGTGATTCTCGCCTTTACTTCTCCACACAGTTGTTCTTGTCTTTGTTGTATTTCAGTGAATGACTTATCAGCTAAAAATCTCCTTCTAATATTGGATCTACAACAGTTTATTTTGCAGTTTGGTCACTGATTTGTTGAAAATAACAACACTGTGGTGAAACGTTGTATTTGTTATCTAGGTTGATAAATCAGCGCTTGATGGAGGAACAGAGTCAGATAGAGGAGCTACAAAAGAATCTTCAAGAACAGGGTTCAAAAGCAGATGATGTAAGTAAATGCTTGTACTCATGTACTTGTACTGTACTGTGTGTAATTCCAGCACCAGTTTACTGGTGGCAGTAAACACAGAAAGCAATCAAACTACACTTCAGAGAGTGCAGTGCTCTGTTTCTACTGACGGCTTAGGTCCTGGAAAGTCATGTGCAATAGTGAAAAAGGCAACGAACATTTTTTTCACAACATCAGCCTTTTTAATTCTTGTGCTTGCCTCAATGCACTGTAAACATTAACAACTTCTAACAGCTTTTGCATTCCCCTTTCTGCGCATGTCATTTTATTTATTTATTTATTTATTTATTTACAATTATTTCTGCTGTAGCATTAGACACACTAGCTTTCTTGGGACGATGTCTAGCCATGTTAAAGACAGGTGTTTGAGGCTTGATTGCAACAGTGAACGAGATTAATACAAGCTCCTCAGCAATTCAGCAACTCTAATTTTTCTCCATCTTATTAACACATTTTCCTGCCGCCTCACCTCTGATGCTAAATGTTTTCATGGCCCTCCTCTCTGTTCCTTGTCTCTTTCAAACTAGTTCCTAGTATGGGACAACAGATTTTTAAGAAAATGCGATTTGGAGCATCTCCCAGGAAGGTTGATGTGAGGAAGAGAGTTTACGTGCATGTTTAACTTTGTCTTTACTGCCTGATTAACACTGATCTAAAACTTGTTTTCTTTTGTGGGGTTTCTGGTTTAATTTCTTGTCCGTCACTGTAGATCTTAGATCTCAGTATCAGCCTCATCTTTCCTTTCACTCAATATCACGAGAACAGTGTCTAAAATCATGCAACAGAAAGAAGAGAATGGAAAACTATTTCCCTCAAATAACATTGAAAGTACAGATGCAACATTTATGTGAGAATCAAAGATGTGAAACTGTCAGATTATTATGTCACATCTGGCACCTCTTTTTAATTTTTGCCATTTTGTTCTTTTGTTATTGTTATTTTCCAACTGTTCTCCACTGTCAGACTATAGTAAGTATATCTTTGTGATTTCAGCAAGTTGCAGCTTTTAGACTTTTGCATAGCTTTTTAAAACATATTTATATTGACAAGAATGTGTAACCGAATGTAGCATTTACACTTTAGAGTAGTAGCAAGTCGCAAATATCATCTGTTCTTGTGAGTAGTTTTAAATCCCCTCCCCTGATAGAAACCCCAAAGTCCTTGTCTTCTCCTCTAGCTTCCCTGTAGCAATCAGAGCATGTAATCTCTCAGTACTCTGAAAATGAGTTTTGTCTATACTGGCTGCACGTCGCCTTGATGTCAAATTGGGGACTGGTGCTGATTCAAAATGTAAAGAAATTAGGTTCCTGCTTTAATTGTACATTCTCAGTATCATCAACACTTTGACTATACTGAAGGTCTCTTCATCTTTCCACATCTTGGATCATGATCTTTTCCAAAAACAGTTCAACGTACAGGAATGATTGAATTTTGATACCACGATTTCTAACACGTTCGCCCGTTTTGTTTGTTTTCTTCTTTTTCTTCCAGTCTTGTATTTTGAAGAAGAAATATGAGGAGCACATGTGAGTGTGTTTTAACTTAATTTGCCAATGTCGCTTAATTCTGCATTTCATATTGTGAGCTACCTGATATAAGGTGCGATATTCTTTTTCTTAGGGAAAAAGTACAAGAGCTGAATAATGAGCTGCTGAAGAAAAATGCCTTCATTGATGAAATGGAGCCGAAATACAACACCAGCAGTGAGTTTACGGTGATATCTGAATATGCAAAACACGCTGACATTTAAAACATTTTGTGTGTAATGTTGCTGTACAGGTAACTCTTCATGCACTGACATTAAAATGTATGAGTCAGTTTAAAGGAAATCTAAACTAAGATGCTGTTTCCCCTCTCAGTCCAACGAGTGGAGGAGCTGGAAGAGGCCTTGAAGAAAAAAGATGAAGACATGAAACAGATGGAGGAGCGATACAAGAAATACCTCGAAAAAGCCAAGAGTGTGAGTAAATGTTTACTAGCAAAGGGTCCATAAATGAATAGTCTTCTGTAGGGCGGGCTGTATGGGACACAAAAAAAAAAACCCCAAACATAACCTGAATGTGACCTTCACAGGTAATCCGAACACTGGACCCCAAACAGAACCAAGGTTCAGGTCCTGAAGTCCAAGCCCTGAAAAACCAGCTGCAGGAGAAGGAGAGGATGTTGCATTCACTGGAGGTAATCAATTATCTAGTTGGGAATTAGGGTGCCTGAAAAAAGGGCCTGGCAAAATAAGTAATAGACTCACGTGCCAATATTTGTTTTAGAAACATCCTCCACTCTAAGGTTGATTTTGCCTTCATGTTTCCTCCAAACAGAAAGAAATGGACAAGACAAAGAGCCAAAGAGATCACGAGGAGAAACTGATTGTGTCAGCCTGGTACAATATGGTAAGGAGCACCTATACAGTCTGAAGCAAATCCTGGTGATACAGGCGATTGGTCTTCTTTTTAAAATGCACTGTGGCACATACAGCTGAGATTTGTGGCCAAGCAAGTAATAATAGCAATACACAGAAATAGCTACTGTCAGGAAGTAATTCATAGCTGAACAAAGCATCTACTAAAGCATTGAAAAACAAAAATGTTATAATTGGAGCTTTTTTTTAAATGTTGCGTATGTTTTCTGCTGTAGAGAACAGATATAATACATTTCTCTACCACAGAGGGTAAACACCCCTTTTTGTTTCCCCAAGAAAATCACCACTAGATGGCAGCACAGACTATTCAATAACGTCAATGGCTGTTTGCTCATTATATATCTCATCAGTTGCTGGTATTATTGTTCATGAGCTGCTAAATCAGCACTAATGTTGAATGTCAGCTAATTTAATTTCCTATAGCTCAGGCTTGGTGGACTAACTAGCAGATAATCTAATGACTGTCTTAATATGTGTGTTAACAGTCTGTGCTCCTTCTTGAGGGCTGTCTTTGACTTGGAGTGTTGCTGATTTGTAGTGACTTTCAAATGGGGCCTTAAGCTTTCCTCCTCTGTTTCTTTTACCAGGGTATGTCTCTGCAGAAGAAGGCTGCTGAAGATCGACTCGCCAACACTGGTTCTGGTCAGTCTTTCCTGGCCCGGCAGAGACAAGCCACCAGCACCCGACGCCAGTATCCTGGTCACGCCCAGTCAGCTACCGCCAGGTAGATGGCAGTAGGGCACGAAATGCTGCAGCCAGCTATTTTACAAGTCCCCCGAACGATGTGCCTATTTTGAGGCGTTCTGTTTTCATTCATTTCTAATGGAAGTAAATGTTTTCCTGCATTTCCTGCCGATTGATTTTCTTTTTTTTCCTTCTTGATCAGATCCATGAGGTAGAGATGCCAAGAAAGGTTGCCCCCAAATCTTGCACCTTTTTTTTTTCTCCTCCCCCTAAGCGTATTTTACCTTGACGCCCATCATGCAAGACTTCTACCTTTTATCAGGCTTCAGCATATTTAATAGGTTCTGACCAATCACACCAAACATCCTTTCTTCCTCCCTCTCTACCACTGACCTTCTTGAACCTGTGCTATGTAGTAAACTTGTGCCATGCAGGTTTTCCAGACTGCAAGGCTCAGAAGAATCGCGTGTCCTTGTCAAGTTACTGTAATTTTTGATAAGAGGAACCGCTCTACCTGTTCATGCAGTATTTATGCACATCTCTACCTGTAGTAACATTTTCAAGTTCAGCTTGTTTTTTGCAGTGGACTTGACAGCTTTTCTGTCCTGCGTCATCTATTGTAACTCTTTATGATGTAGCTTTAAGGAGGTAAAAGCAACTTTTAGTTTAATGTGTCAGTGTTTCATTTCAGTCTCGACCAGCAAATACATCGAAGCATAGGATTATGTAATGTCTCGTGTAAATCTTTGATTTGCTTGCTAAATGTTCTAACTGATTTAATTGAGTGATTTCAAATAGGACTGCATGATTGTTGGTAATGGTGCAGCAATAATTGTGAATGGTAGCTTTTTTTCCTGAAGAAAAAAAAAAAGACTTCTTTAGGTTTTGAAATTGTTCCAGGTGGTGCAATTTAAGACTTGATAGATTTCCTGTGCTAGTGTACATACTGGTGTAAATTAGTTTTAAGTATCTAAGAGAACAAGGAGCCACCAGCATTTACAGAGTTGACAGACAACACCTTATGTGCCATAGTGTTTGATATAAATGTCTGTACCTTGGCAATCTGTCAGGTTTACCTTCCCCCTAATATGACGTGACAAAATAATGTATTCACAGAACGTTTAGCGGTGAGATGGTTTTAGACCTGAGGACTGTCTGTTGAAAGAGATTTAGTTTCTGGATCATCTGCAGAGTGGACATGAAGACCTGTTCAGTGTCACACATCAGAGTGGACTGTTCCATATCACTTTCTATAATCAGCTCATTGCTGTCACAGTAAAAAGCACTTTTTTTTTCCAGGTTTGCTAAAGGGTGTTTAAAATGCGCACTACATACAGGTATATAACTTTAAATGGGAGTCTTAAATAGGGTATGCTTTTCTCAATATGTGTTTAACCGATTGTTTGTTCCGTTGTCATTTTCCAGTTTTAACGCATATCAGGAATCATAACTTACTAACCTTGAAATAATTTTGCTTGGTGTTAGATCAGGAGCAGATTGTTGATTTTAGGCTAAAAAGCCCTGCCATCTGACCATTACTTCTTTTCTTTTTTTTCTTTTTTTCCCCTCCCTCAACAGCAATGTCCCTGCATGACTGGCACACCAATGACCTGCCCGAGCCTTGTGTAGCCTGGCCAGTTCTTTATGTGGCCTACACTGACCCCCAGCTGGGCTAGGCTGTGGCACGCGTGCATGAACTACCTACCTGTTTGCATGACTTTGCATTGACTCAAGTCTGCGAATAACCAGCGCACTAGCAGCAGCGCGAGCACTAACAACCCTCTGCGGTGTCACGCATTATAACCTCCAGACAAGCCCGGGGAGGAACGGGATTGGAAAAGAAAACCTTCGCTCTCCTTTCCCCTGTTAATTTTTCCACCATTCCGACTCCTTTCCCCACACCCTGATGCTCTTTGTTACATTCTCTCCTCCTCCCCTCTTGTAGCCTTCATAAACATGCCTGCTTGTTTGCTTCCACACTGCATCAAGTCTGTTACACCTATGTTACAAACAACCAGGAAAAAGGAGTGGAGTAAGCCAGTTATCTGTCAGTCAAGTTTTGGGTTTAAATAGGCCTGTTCTCTAGTATTTATGTCTAACTTGATTTTGTTTGGCTGCTTAGGGATACCTCAATGACATATTCCTGCATACTCTGTTTATTTGTGTGGCTCGAGGATTGGGGTAATATTTGAGAGGTATAACCGGCAAATCGGTATGCATAACAAAATAGGACTCCATTCTGTTTTTAACTTCTACAGTAAGTATTTTTATGAAAGCCCTGAACATGTTGCTAGATTGCATCTTAAAAGTGCTTTTACCTCAAGTATTGAATGCAACCAGTTTTGGACTAAAGGCAACAATGCTGCCCGAAAAGTGTTTGCAGAGATATAAATATAAAGTGTTTAAATGAAAGACATTGTTACAGATGTGTTTTGAAAAGCAGTAAAAGCCCCCATTAAGCCTGCTT